GGGCGGAGCTGGCAGGGGGGCCTTGAGGAGGGGCCCGACGGCCAATGGGCGCGGCCGCGGCAGGGCTGGGGGCCCAGGAGGGGGGTTCTCGCGGGCCGCTGGGCCCAGCGCGTTGGAAAACCCGGCCTCGGGAGAATGGCTGGAAGCGGAGTCTGCCCAATTTTCCTTACCAAAAAACTAAAGAAATGTACCTTTGCGCCCTCCTTAGGGTTGGCTGTGTCCTCCAGAGGAGCGCCTCCTCCTCTGATTAAACTCAGGACTTTCACGTTTGGCTCCCTGGTCTGTTATCACACTGTACCGTCCACATGTGGGGGTCTTTCCCCAAAAAAGGCTCGCTAAATGAGAAAATCTCAAATCCTCAAATCCCGGTTAAACTGAGACTTACAGCTGTGTGAATTTGGGTATAGATTAGGATCATCCTGGTTGACTCTGCTTGCCTGCGTGATGTGATCTCGGGCAGAACTGTTTACCAGACTTCTTCGAACCTAGGATGAAACCCAAACCTTGGAATGCACTCCAATTCTAGAATATTGCAAACCAACCCCCTCCCGGGCAAGGGACAATACGGTAAGTGGAGGGGCAGCTGTCTTGGCTCAGTATAAACTTGGGCTCTGCCGCTTACCTACTGGTGACCTTGAGTAAGTTTCTTAGGCATTCTGATGCTCCCTTCCTCATCATCTGTGATATGGAGAATAATGATCATTATTCATAAGGGATGTAGATCTGAGTGAAAAATATGTATAGAAACTGCAGTATAAATGTCAGTAATCTCTTCCTAATATTCTCTTCCTCATTTTTAAAAGATTTCTGTCTCTAATAGCTCCCCTTCTCCCTATCCCCACTTTTTCCTTTTGATTTTTTTATTAAGGTTTTTGCTGCTGGGCATGTGTGCTTACCAGAGACAGACAGAGAGCAAGGGAAAGTGAGAAATCACCTCCCAGGCAGAATGGCCACACTGCAATCCCTTCTCCATTCCTCTCTTGTGATTTTGGGCATTCAGGTACACACACCCAGCATGTTTTTCAAGCCGCCAGGTCTGGGTCTTGAACCACATAGCTGGCCATGTGGGATCTAGTGACTTTACTACACTACCTGCTGGCACCAATATTCTCCCCTTCTAACCAATTCAATTTCTGGGGGAAGTCCTGACCACCCAAAGGTAAGCCAAGGAGCATGTGGGGCCAGGTGAGTTTTGGAGGATAGGTGGTATCTCGGGATTGAAACCCAGAGACATCGGAATGAGTCAGCTCACACTGACAGAGACCTATCATGTGCCACACACAGGGTTAAGCACTTTATATGCAACATCTCTGCTAATTTTCCCAGCAGGTAAATGCCATTCCTATCTCCATTGTATAGATGAAGGAACAGAGGCACAGGGATGTAAAACCATTTGCCTAAGATCGCACAGCTTTAAGTGGAGTTGTGGCTGAGAGAAGGGGACAGGAGAGATGGCATTGGCATTGGTAAGAAACCTCTGAACTGGAAAGCCTCCTCCCTTGGCACATTTCCTGGGCCTGGACTGGGCTTGAGAAGGACATGGCAGCCAGCAATAATGTCTGCTCCACCCCATCCTGATCCATTCACTACTTGGGTCTTTCCTTCTTTCTGGAATCACTCCATAAATTCAGGTGCAGCAGGTTTCTTCAGGAAGGCATTGGAGGAATCAGAGAGAAATCCAGTTAGGCCCAGGAGCCAGGATGGTGAATCAGAATGGGGCCAAATGTCCCCAGAGGTGCTCCCTCGATTGGAGGAGAAAGGGCTTGTGGGCCAAACTTGCTGGCTGGAAGGGGACTTGGCTGGCAGGGTGAGGGCAGAAGAACAACAAGGGCCTCTCCCAGCTGTTTCCCTGGAGAGATGAGGGCAGGACTGCCCATACCTTCCCCTGCCAGGATATGGCCTGGGACATCTAGGAGAGGGGGAGCATATAATCAACTCACCCCTCCCCCCCCGCCGCCGCCCCCTGCCCTTCCACTGGGCACCAAGGGTCCCCGCCGCCGCCCCCTGCCCTTCCACTGGGCACCCAGGATCAGGAACGTAGATACGCAGATATGATGGAGTGGGATTCCCTGGGGAAGGACTTTGGCCAATTGGGAAAGGTCTCTGCTGATGAAGGTAGGTGGGTTATTTTTAGCTTAGCCTCGGACAGCCCAGACCAGGACAATAGATGAGAGTCCATATCTCATCTTGCCTGCCCACAAATCACAAACACACATGTGTACACATACCTCTGGGCACACACCCCCATACACACCCACAGAGGTACACACAGGCATCAGTCACAGGTGTAGACGGACCCTCCCAGAAACATCACACACACCAACTAGAGACACCCAGACATGAGACTGAAAAAGCAAACAGACACAGGCACACACATCTAGAAGCATAAGTAGGCAGCTGACTCTACAGACAAATAGATGCCTAGCTACTGGGCTGCCGGGAAGCACATATAGACGCACATCTGCCAAGACTCCTGTCTGACTGTCATCCTTGGCACAGGATGTAGTCAAGGACAGCAAAGCAGGGACCTTAGCAGAGACCTAGTACCCTTCCCCCTCCACCAGAAAGCCAGGAGGATATTGGAAATTTCTCTAACAAGTTCCAGAACTTGGAACTTACTGTTTAGGCAGTAAATTGTACCGCCAGGCCCTTCTAGTCCAAGTTTCAGGTTTCATGGCTTTGTTTAATTCCGTGCTGAAGAAAAGGGGATCTGGGCGTGAGTGTTGAGGGCAAATAAAAGAAAGGACATTTTTTCTTTTCCTACCAGTCCATCTGCCACTTCCCTGGGCCTAAAAACACTCTCAACTCTTGAAACGTGCTCACAGGAGGTCCTGGGTCCTGCTTTCCCTGGGGCTCCAACATGAGGGTGGGGGACTTAGCACCTTGGGAATCCATAACTCCCCCATCCCACTGCTGTGCTGAGTCGCTGGGAGGATGCCCCTTCTCCAGCCTCCTGTGCCTGAGCAACCTGCTGGGCCCTGGCTCTTCCCAGACAGGCATCTCAGTGTCTGCCCTCAGTTGCCAGGGAAAGGTTTCTGCAGTGGGAGTCAGTTGGGCTGAGCCCCACCTTTCCCTGTCCCTGGGCTGACACACTGGAGCAGCTGGATTCAGCATAGGGCAACCCAGCATGGGGGTTCTGCTGTGATGTTAAGTAAGTGACCTGCTTGGAGGCAGGTTCCTGCCTTCCCTGTAGACCATGATACAATCAGCGCCTAAGACAGCTTTCAACACAAGGTAGGGAGTGGATACATTAATGAGGCAGGGGAAGGGACATGAACCGTCAAAGGGGCCTTGCCCAGCCAGCCCTGGAAAGATCCCTCTGCCCTCCATTTCCTGGGTACCTGTAGCCAGGGGCAGGGTGAGGGCTGTCCTAGGCTGGAAGTGAGGCAACCTTTATGCAGTATAGCTGCTTTGAAATCAGTCACAGAGCCGGCTGCAGCCATGAGTCGGGGCTGCAGATGTTTCCGCTGGCTCTCTCATTTCTCTCAAACCAGAGGAGGGGGTAGGAGACAGAGCACCGAAATCAGGAGTCAACTGGTGGATCTGGCCCTGCTCCTAGGGGGTGCTCTCACCTGCTGGGAGATTTGGTGTTACTGAAGCTTTCCAAGCATCGGTTTCTTCCGTTGTAAAATGGGAATAATAACTACCCCATAGAATTTAAAAGATATTAATAAAGCCCTAATCTGGCCGAATAAAAGCTACCTATTTTATAGCAGTTATGATTTAAAAACAGCTGTAGGGGCTCCTCCCAGGAGCGACTCTCAGAAGCTTCGGGTTGGTGCCTCCCTCTATAGCCAGTACCCGTGTTCTAGCAGGTGCCACTAGGCGGCGCGCTGCCCCTTGCGCCTTCCCGCCGGCCGGCAGCTCTCGTCTCCCTTCCAAGGCGCTGGGTCTCCCACTGGCCTAGCTCCAGGCCTCCGGAGGCTGTGGCCCACAAAGGGCATATCTGCCCGGAGGTGTCAGGGCGTGGGAGCCCTCAGAGATTTGGTTAACAAGATCTAGAGTGGGATGGTCTGCGGATGAATCACAATCCCTCCCTCAAGTCTCCCGGCCCAGAATGGACCCCAAACGTTTGGATCCTGCAGAGAGGTGAGGTGCCCTCCGCCATCCCGTTGTGATTGTGTGACAGTCACAGTTGAGCCCTTTTTATGTGCCAAGTACTCTCCTTAGTCCTTTCTGTGCTGACAACAGCCGTCTGAGAGAGGGTCTGTTATTATTCCCATTGCCAGGACACAGTGACTTAGGCATGGAGAGGTGACCTGGCCAAAGGTCACATACAGCTGGTAAAGGGGCAGTGGAGACTCACGTCTGGACGGAATGGATCTCAGGCTTGTACTCTAATTTTTTTAAAAATTGAGATAAAGCTTACATAATATAAAATTATATTGTAAATTACATAAATATAAATTATTACCATTTCAATCATTTAAAAAATGTACAATGCAATAGTTTCAGTATATTCACAATGTTGCACAACCTTCACCACTATCTAATTATAGCACATTTTCATCACCCCCCCAAAAGAAACCCTATATCATTATTAATCATTCCCCCTTCTCCCCTCCCCAGCTGTCAACCACTAATCTTTCTATCTCTACGGATTGTCTGTTCTGGACAGTTCATATACTGGAATCACACAATATG